GTTAAAAGTGCGAAGTGTTATTAGGTCATCGAGGGAAATTATTATCTGCTTGGACATTCGATTAAATATTCTCGTGTATGGTCAATGAACTTTAAATTCATTGATGGTACACGAGCTAGAAAAGAGAACGCGAAGTGTAAATTAATTTTGTAATAATTGAGAATTAGAATCATAACAAAATACGAGTTCATTTGCAAAATTAGTATGAGAGATTTTATCTTGCTCGCACATAGAAAATGTCCAAATGCAGTTTTCAGAGAATGAAGAAAGAAGAAGCTTAAAGCCGAAGAGGCCCCCACTTAATTGTGGCTCAAGAGGGCAACTACTGAGACTATTGAGTTATTTTCAAAGGTTCAACATCAAGTTCGAACCTTTCGAGAATGGTTCTTTAGTCATATTCTATATTTTATTCTATTATTTCTTTGCTCGTCATTAATTTCTAGTTGTAATTGGAGATGATGGTTCATTCCATCTTCTTGGGACACCAAATTCGTGTCTATATCGTCAAAAAGATGCATATGTGTTTAGTTAGTTCGAGTCAAAATATTTAAATTCCTTTTTTATCACATTTTGAAACCTAATTATTCTCTTTTGAATATTAAAGTAATCTCTCTTTTTTTTTTGTCTTTAAGATTTTTCACTGTAATCGTATTTTATTAAACTTGTAATTTTTCTTTTCTTTAGAATAGTAGTTTTAAAGTATTTTATAATAATTAATAAATATTTTTTTTAATTACTTGATATTTGTCCTTTTTCTTTTTTTTATATATATATTTTTTTTATGTAAATTTAAAATCACGTGTTTAAATTTAATTTTATTGCTAACGGTAAATAGAGATTTGATAAAAATAAATAGAGAATTAAATTGAAAAGTGCATCTGCGAATTGGACGATTCATATGTTAGGCTACTCTGTATCACTCGATTGTATTATTAATATAGTTTTCTTCTTGTTACAGGTGATCATCGTTGGATTTATCATCAAACCTTTTTGATTTTCTTCTATTTAAAGAAGTCAAATATATTTATAATGGCATTTCTGAAGGCACACAAATGCTTATACCCTAAAAATCAAACATGATTATTCAAAATCCTATAACAAATGTAAATTCAAACATTTTTAGATAAGCATCAAAGATAAAAATAGAACATTAAATGTTTCGTCAACAATTTTCATTTGTTATGGGAATAATTGGAATATGTTAAACTAGAGGATTAAAAAAGCTTGTTCTTCATATAATAATTTTTAAAAACAAAAAAATTACTATTTCTTACAGTCTTGAATATAAAATGATGGAAGATCAAGTTTCTAGTGCATTTAACACTCCATCAATTGAAAAGGGTATGTTTTAAATGAAATTATTGTATTAAAAAGATATTTCAAGATGGAAACGTTTGATTTTATGCAAGAGATCTTTTTGAAATTATTAATTTTATCTGATCAATACATTTTAAGTGTAAAAAATACCTGGTCAATACCTAAGTTCAAAGACAAAATTATATGACGTACAAAGTGCAGATATTAATGAAATTAAAATTTAAGAAAGAACTAATTCTCTACCTAATAATAAGATACAAGAAACACTATTTGAACAGTATTTTAAATTACACCATTGACGTTTACAACATAAGAGACTGATAGAAAATCATAAATTTTGATTTTAATTTATTATTTATATTGACTTGAAGTATATCCAATTTTCATCAAATTTATAAAAACATCTTTATATTTTGTAATTTAAATGACTTACAATTACAAGAATTAAATAATTTAAAGTGGATTTTATTTTTATTAAAAATACTGTTAATCTTCCAGCTGATTGGTTATTTCAGAATACCAACCTACATATTTCTATGCATTATCCTGGTTACTATCATCCTTTCTCTAACCTAACCTAAACGTTTAACAACACAACATCAATATTACCGCCACCTGGTTTTATGAATCAAAATCAAAATTGACGCTGAAGGAGACTTCCTACTGAATGAAGTTGGCTGATTTTTACCAGCAGTGTCGGTGCAAGAATATCATACATTGGGAGATTTTCATTTTACTTATTTTACAGTATTAATGATATTTTCTTTTTTCTCGCCATGTCAAAGGCAAAAGTTACCGCAGAATGGAGAAAGCGAGTGAAATCGGAATATATGCGATTAAGACAAATAAAAAGATACAAACGAGCAGACGAAGTGAAAATCGCATGGAATAGGAATCGAGAGATTATGAAAAGTTAGTTCACTCTTAATAATCTATAAGGAATAGAATATTTTTCCTTTTCCTTTTTGTTTTTTTTTTCTCATTCTATTTCTTCTTTTCTTCCATCTTTATTTATTTATTGTGGTTTATATTAATTTTTAATTTATTTATTTTACTTATTATTATTATTTGACAACAAATACTATTATTTACTTAACTCTTTAATGCAATTAAAATGTGTAGATAATAGAAATATTTTTATTGCATGTAATGTTATGATTGTATATTTAAATAAAAGTTTCTTCGATCAGCGCTTCTTTCAAAGGAACAGAAATTATGGGAAGAAGGAAAAGCGGTATGGGCAGCCAAGGAAGATATCCCAGCTTCTTGCATGAAAAAAGCAGAAGTTACCAGTTTAGAAGGAGAAGTACAAAGTTGTCCTGTCAAAATATTAAATGCTGTTACTCCTATACCCACCATGTATACTTGGGCACCAATACAACAAAATTTTATGGTGGAAGATGAAACCGTATTACATAATATCCCTTACATGGGGGATGAAATTTTAGATCAGGATGGAACTTTCATCGAAGAACTTATTAAGAATTATGATGGAAAGGTAATTGATAATTATTTGAGAAGAAGAATAATTATACTTTTTTGATACTACCAATGACTATTATAACACATAGTCATTATTATTTTACAGGTACATGGAGATAGGGTATCAGGTTTTATGGATGATTCCATTTTTGTTGATTTAGTAAATGCTTTAGCTAATTATGAAAAAGACGATAAAGATAAAGAACATACTAAAAGAGGTAAAGAATCTAAAGAAAAAGAAGATCAAAAAGAAGATGAGAAAGAAAGTAAGGAAGATCCCAAAACAGAATCATCGGTTAAGTTAGCAGATAAGCCAGTGGAAGATTCTAAAATTCAAGCTATTCCATTCCCATCGATGCACATATTCAACGTAAGTTATTTGTTGCATGCTTAATGGTTTAAAATTATAAAATAATTGAAAATAAAACTGTTGCTTCTATCTATAGGCAATTTCTAGTATGTTTCCGGATAAAGGAAGGCCTGACGAGTTAAAAGAAAAATACATAGAACTAACAGAAAGATCGGATCCAAACGTATTGCCACCAGAGTGTACTCCAAACATCGATGGTGTTAATGCTAAAAGTGTACCAAGAGAGCAGACTATGCATTCGTTTCACACGCTCTTTTGTAGAAGATGCTTCAAATATGACTGCTTCTTACATCGTGAGTAGACAGCTAGTTTAATGTTTAGTACTTTCAAGTTGTATCTTGTCAGGCAAAAATACAATAGAATCAATGTACAATATTGATAAGGATATATGTAAATATTATTTATATATATATATGTGAACACAGCCTCTAGATACAACTTATTGATAATTTTATATTCTATATGATTAAGAAGCTGGATGTATATTAATTACAATAATTTGTGATTCCTGATTTATCGTAGCAGCCAGGGGGACCTCGCCGCAAGGTAAAGAACAACATTGCATACAAACGAGCGCATTCGATCGAACGCTTTTTTTTTGTTTAGCACGGAGGCATCGCCAAGGGTTCATCCACAATCAAATTTCATTCGTCGTTCATCGCTCGCTCTTTCTGTTTCTCTCTTTCTCTCTCTCTCTCTTCCTTTCTATTTCTCTATCTTTCTCTCTTTCTCTCTCTTTCTCTCTCTCTCTCTCTCTCTCTGTCTACTAAATTTCTCTCCATTCGCGATATAATAGGTTTATATTACATTCCACTTTAAAATTATAACATTTATTTTAGGTCTTCAAGTCTGCCATCCTGGACCAAATTTACTCAAACGAAAAGGTCCAGACTTGAGGCCGTTTTCTGAACCATGCGGAACGGAATGTTATATGCATTTGGTATTTAATATAATACATAACATAAAGTATACATTCAATAAAACATTTAATTATATTTTCATATTATTTTCTTATTCAGGAAGGTATGAAAGAAAAGCTTGCTGCACAGGCAGCCGATATAAAAGAAGATGAAGGTGATGAGAAACGTGGTGGTCCTAGAAAAGTACGAAAGCAAGCAAGTGTTGATTCAGGAAATGAAGCTAGTAGCGAAGATAGCAATGACAGTAATAAATACAGTCAAGGTGGTTGTTGTCAAGGTATAATAACATCCTTAAACTTTTAACTGATCAAGATTTAATTATTTTATAAGTATTTATTCATATTTCGTAATTAACAGATTTCAAACAAAATGTTAATAAAGAAGTTAAGTCGGAAGAAATGATGGAAGACCAAGCACAACCGGAAAATCAAACTCCTTTCACGTTGTTAGGTCTTGATAAAAGAGTTAAGACGGAAAGCGAATTGTCGTGGACCGGATCAGAACAAAGTCTTTTCAGAGCTTTACATAAAGCATTTCCCGGTAACCCTTGCGCCTTAGCACAAATAATATTAACCAAAACTTGTCAAGAAGTTTATGGATTTGCTCAAAAGGAAGCTTCGGACATTCCAGCGGTGGAACACTTGAAAGATTTTACACCACCAAGAAAGAAGAAGAAGAAGCATAGGCTTTGGTCTATGCATTGCAGAAAGATACAATTGAAGAAGGATTCTGGTAATTATTATATGTCAATCATTAATAATCAATACAACATGACATCACAGTCAGAGTGTCTCCTCACGCGTTCTTTTTTTTGTTTGCGTTTACCATATGTATAAAATCATACTCACAGGTGCCAATCATGTCCACAACTTCGCACCGTGCGATCATCCAGGCCGTCCATGCGATAATTCTTGTCCATGTATACAGGCGCAAAACTTCTGTGAAAAGTTCTGTCAATGCAGCAGTGAATGTCAGAATCGATTTCCTGGCTGTAGATGCAAAGCTCAATGTAATACGAAACAATGTCCTTGCTATCTAGCAGTAAGGGAATGTGATCCTGATCTTTGTCAAACCTGTGGAGCAGATCAATTTCAAATAACTAAAATATCATGCAAAAATGTCAGTGTTCAACGGGGTCTTCGTAAGTATATATATATACATAAACAAATTTTCTTCACATCTGAAGTATAAAATTGATTCAAATCATCATCCTGTATTCTTTTTATTTAGATAAACATCTTTTAATGGCGCCATCCGATGTAGCTGGTTGGGGAATATTTTTAAAAGAATCAGCTGCAAAGAATGAATTCATTTCTGAATATTGCGGCGAAATAATAAGTCAAGATGAAGCTGATCGTAGAGGAAAAGTATACGACAAATATATGTGCAGTTTTCTATTCAATTTAAACAACGGTATTTCTTTAACACACATTTTCTGTTTTTTATAAATAATTATAAAACTGCATTGAAACGATGCTATAAAGGGATATAAACGTTATTCTTCGTTCTATAGATTTTGTAGTCGATGCAACACGTAAAGGAAATAAAATAAGATTCGCCAATCATTCAATTAATCCTAACTGTTATGCTAAAGTTATGATGGTTAATGGTGATCATAGAATAGGCATATTCGCTAAGAGAGCTATTCAGCCAGGGGAAGAACTGTTTTTTGATTACAGGTTAATTTTTATACAGGATAATGGTAACAAAAAGTGTCTAATATAAATTTCATTGAATTATTTCTTGATTTTTTTTTTTTTTATTACAGATATGGCCCAACTGAACAACTCAAATTTGTTGGTATTGAACGTGAAATGGAATTTCTTTAAAGTTATACAATTTTAATAACAACTTATATATATATATATATACATATATATAAACATCGATAAATTTCTTTTTATACAGTTCGATTGAGAAACAAAACGAGAGAGAATATAATGAATAATAGTTATTAATAATATTTCAATATCGATAAACTTAATCTGCCTAGTGCATATCAAATCATTTTTAAAGTAATACATGTATAAAGATTTATGAACTGGTATGCATGTGCGAATGTGTATGTGTGTCTGTGTGTGTGAATATGTATTCGCTGTATATGAACGTCGATTAGTATGTGATTTCTTAAGCCGTCTTTTTCGAATAAAAGTATTATCGTTTTACATGTGTTATATTTAATACAACATTTAATGAACTTATTTGTTTCATTTTAATATAAACACATTAGAAAAGAAAAAGGAAATATTTCTTTTTGATTTTATTATTGGTTATTTCGTAATTACATGAGCAGATATTATTTATTACAATTAATTTATTAAATATTGCAATGCATATCGTATAAATGATAACAAAAATAATTAAAACAACTCGTATTTTAATATTGCGTAATGTTAAATAAAGTCTTCTTTTCTTTTTTTCTGCTATTTTTGTGTTTTAAAAGAATTTAAATTAAAATGAGCAAAAGAAATTCCCGCGAAAATTTTCAAACGAACAGGATTAGTTCGAAAAGATACGAGAAGAGCGCTACTGTACAACTCGTAGCCGATCAGCCACCAGTTGCGGACTTCGCGGCCGCGAAAACGGATCGAGAGATATTTTCGTAACGTTTGTGTGATATAATATAATATAAAAGATTTAATTAAAAAATAGCTATCGCGTACTTTTTAATGAAACAAAAAAAAGAAAAGAAAAAAAAATAAACGAAACTAAACAATTAATTAAATAATAAAAGAAAAAAACAACAACAACTGCGAATAGATAAATATAGAAACAAGTTAGATCGTTATGAAGATAATTAATAAAAATTTATCTAAAGTTTCGATTAAACGTTCATCGTGTTGTTTATTTGCAATAATTCGATTCTTTTGTTCGTTTTTTTACGATCACGATCGATAAAGTTCATAAATATTGTAAGAATAATATCGTTTGGTTACGTTTGTGATTGAATCTATCAACGACGGATCATGTAATCATCAGTAAGAAAAATCTACGATAAAATTTGAAATATCGTCTCTACGAGGTTTATAGAAGATTTTCTATTAAAAAGAAAATAAGATTTTTATTTGGATCGAAGCCAGATTTAAATTGTTCAGACGACATGGAGGAGGAAGGTAATTATAATATATTCTTAATTTGAAAATAATAGAACATTTGTTATCGCGCGTATGTCATGTTTCTCTCTATTTTTTTTTGTTTCTTTTAGTTGTTGTTGTTTATATAAATAATGAATATAAATGTTGGAATAATCGGTCGGTAAAGTAGAACGCGATAGAAATAAAATATAAATGAGATTCATATTCTTTATCGTTACTTTTTATATTTTTTGTTTTTTTCTTTTTTTTCTTATAGTCCCATTTGTTTCTTATCTTTGTTCGTAATAAATAATATCCGCCATGATTACGAAATGACCAATAATAAAATGAAGAAGGAAATATATTTCTTTTTTATTTCTTTCCGAATAGCATGAGAAAATGTCGGTTAAGAAATAAAAAAAAAAAGATAAAATGGAAAAATTACGGATAAAAATAAGTAAGAATTTGTGGAAAGGATGAAGAAATAGGTGGTTGAATTAAAAAAAAATAAAATAAAATACCGGAGGGGTAAATATAAAATGACGCCATGATGGAAAAATTTTAGCGGGAATAATGGCCGTCGTAATCGATTTCAATCGAACGGGTGTTATTATTATAGAAAAAAAAAAAAACACTTCGATCTATTTCTCTTTTTCTCTTTTTCTCTTTGAGTCGTCAGAAACGTTTTGTAATTCTAACCAATGTCTTCATCTCATCGTCACTTCATTTCTACTAATGTAAACATACAAAATAAATTGAACGCTTAAATCTGATCGATTGATTGTTCGATCGATAAATTGATCAAACAATTTCAATCATTTTGAACGATAGTTATGTTATATTATTAAATTATTTCTAAATATTTCTTTATTCAAATGAAACGTAATATACATTATCACTTAATTGTATTCTCAATCAATTATCCTTTTTTTTTTTTTTTTAATCATAATATTAGCTGTCAAAGAGAAAATACTTTTGATATTAATAAATAGAAATAAATTTCTTCGTGTCAATCATCAACGTCAATTAATATGATATGAATTATATAAATATATATCTCATAGAAAAAATTAAAAGTTTAAATAAAACTAAAGAAATAATAATAATAATATTATCCGCGAATTTTCATATGAACCAATCAGACTCATTAACAATATTCTAATAATAATAATAAAAATGATAACGAAGAAGCGTGAGTAAGAGCACTCGTGCTGTTTTACACACCCATTCAGATTAAAACTTATGGGCTTGGGTTTAATGCGGTCTACCCATTATTACAACACATAGGTATACATAAATTTATACACAGTTATAGACTGGAACACACACAAACACAGGAAAAAAGAAAAAGCAATACGGATAAGACGTATTCGTATTGTACGTGACTCGTTCCACGATTAAATTAAACAGCAACAAACGAACGAATCGTCTTTTTTATGGCTTTCAAATGAAATTTTCAGTTTAATGAAAACTGTGAAATGTTTCTCTTTTTTTTTCTTCTTCTTCTTCTTTTTTTTCTTTTTTTTTATAAGGCACAATTATTAATGACACAACGAACGATTTAAATTTGAATTCATACGCGGAACAATCATGATTGGATTAACGAGATATTCAACGTTCATTGGTTATTTTAATCGGCTTTGTACGACCACTTTCGTTGTGTTAGTAAAATTTCAAATTTCTCTAATTGTGAAGAGTGGGAATTTTAATTATGGGAATAATTAATTTTATATTCCTTTTTTGGTATGTGGTCTTTTAGACATATTACGGGATGATTCATACACGTGTAATACATACATACTTATACGAAATGTTAAAAGTTGAATTATGTGTTCTAATATCTAAACAAAATAATATATTCTCTTAATTGTTTATTTTGTTTTGAATTAAAATCTCTTATAAAAAAATTGCCCTAAGGAATACTCTATTTGAATAGTCAAATAACAGTAGATTTTATTTTTTTTTGTTCTCTTTTTCTCTGTTTTTTTTTTTATTTTTATTTTTTTTTCTTTTCTTTTCTTTTCTTTTTTTATCGAGGATGAGATTCTAAGAGTGTCGTTTGAAATGAAGACAAATCCACCAAGAGAAAGATTTTCTAATCCTTTCTATCTTATTCAAACGTTACGTTTTACACGACATCTTTCTCTTTTCCTGTTCTTTTTTTTTATTTAAGTGAAGAAAAGTAAATTAAAAAAAAAGTCATTGAATATTCGAATTTATATTACGAATGATAAATTAATGAACCAATTATCATATGACAAAGTAATATGATAAAATTAAAATTAAAAAGAGAAAAACAACATCGTGCGTGATAGGTCAAAAGTCATAGTCCTCTTTTATTTTGGGGGGGGGGGTAATTTTTAAAGAAGAACAAGAAAAATAAAAAGATAAGGGAGAAAAATAAGAAATGAAAGGGTTTACAAGAGAAGCAAAAAAAGAAATAGGAAAAGAATTGTACTAAAGTCATGGTAACAGTTCGTTTCCGTGACATAGTTAGTTGCGTGTCTAGTAACGAACGAAGGAAAATGTCATGACGAACGGTACGACACAATGGCCGATTGCCTGTCGATAACAAACTCTCGTCGACATCTCCTGTCAATCGGAACCTCTTACCCGTGTCACCTAACAGACCGAGAAAGACAAAGAAAGAAAGAAAGAAAAAGAGAGAGAGAGAGAGAGAGAGAGAATGAGAAAGAGAAAGAGGGTGAAAGTGATACAAAGGGGAACGAATTGTACCCCTCCCTTCTCCAAATTTGTTTCTAAACTTTCTAGAAAGAGATAATGATAGAATCCTAAAATAGATGAATCCTAGAAAGAGATATAAAATCAGGATAAGGGAGAAAAGGGAATAGAATCAAAAAGTGAAAGAAAGTAAATCAAAAATTGAATAGCAGAGAGAGAGAGAGAGAGAGAGAGAGAGAGAGAGAGATTGTTAGATTTAATGAAAAAATAATTACGATTTGTTCATTATTTTTCAATTCGATGCTAATTTTTGTTCCTCTTTCTCTCTTCCACCCTTTTTTTTTTAAATCTATTTAATTAAAATTATATAATACGGTACTGTGTTATTGTAAAGGGTTGAAATTGGCACTTCTTACGACGAGAGGTAATTACTGTAATGATTCGTCTGATTGCGTCAGGGTTGCGTCTAAATTTTTTTCTTTTTTTTATTCTATTTTCATACCTCGTTTTTCAGTATTTTATTACCAATGTTTCTATTGTTTTTTATTTTTTATTTTTTTTTTTGTTAAACTCGATAAATTATTTGCTAATTATCATTATCCATATTTTGATCCTAAATTTAATCACGAAGAGTAAATTAATTATATTTGAATAGGATTGCAAGAATGAGAATATTTTGATTGCATCATTGATTGATTGAAATGTAAAGCCTTGTGTGTTTTTGTGACGAAAAACAATTAGCAAATGTATTGCCTAAAAACACACCGGTTTTTCACATTTTCTTGATTAAAACTAAAGTATTTTTAAAGATAAGAAGGGTTCAAGGACGACCTTTCAAATAATTCCTAAATAGAAAATGATTTACATAGGATTATTTGAAACAATTTCAAAGGTAGCAGATGATAAATTTCAATGTTAAATCAATTTTAATAGATATTAAAAGTTATTCATGTAAAAGTTTATTTTTTGTTTGTATTATTTTTCTTTCTTTTTTTTTTTTTTATCGTAAATATTCTTTCGTATTTCATATACATATATCACAACGAATGAATTTATATAAATCATATCATATAAAAATAATAAAATAAATATAAATCAAATATATAAATCTCTTTTTTTTTTGTTTTGGTATACGTTGAAAGATTTATCCAATAAAAAGAAGAACAATTTATTAATCAATCGTGATAAGTAAGCAAATGACCTACCAAGAATACGATACATATTAATTAGTGAACTTGAAACACACTTAAGGACAATTGAGATATCTTAGATGACCTCTCTTTTTCTCTCTTTCTTTCTTTCTTTCTTTCTTTCTTTCTCACTTTATATCGCAATGTTTAAAGATGTTAACTACTTCCTATCAATTACGATCGGTGTTCTAATCGGTGCTAACTTCTTTGAAACCTATCACAAAAGTCATTCTTACTTGGTTCTTTTTTTCTTCTTTCTTTTTATTTCATATTCTTAATTCTTTGTTTGTTCTTTTTAATTTCATTTTTGACAATTATTCAATATCAACCCTTTAATTCGAAAATATATTTATATGTAAGAAATTAAAAAAAAAAAAAAGAAAATTGGAAACATAAATTGGATAAACACAATATGACAATCTTTTACAATCTTTTTTTTTTTTTTTTAAACAGATCCATTCACGAAGAGAAAAAAAAGAGAGAGAGAGAGAGAGAGAGAGAGTGAGAGTGAGTGAAAGAGAAATTGAATAGTCCCTTCCGGCCAGTTTGAAAATAGTTTTTGTTGGCTATCAGCCAATAACCACGTTGATCTTCCTGCGTATCATCCTCTTCGTTTCCGATAAATGTTTTCTCTTTAACATTTTACTCACTACGTATTATATATATTCATATACAAATGCATTTATATGTTACATACATATATACATAGATATAAAGATAGTTTCCATTTTAATTAAACCTTACACATTGTATAATAAAATAATTCTCATTATTAAGAGAAACGATGTTTGTGCTATAGAAGTTATAGATTTTTGTTTTTTATTGTTTATTTATATTATTATTTATTATTTATTATTTATTATGTGTTCGATTAAAATATGTGTTATAGAGAGAGAGAGTATTTTATTTCTAAATTAATACATTTTTTTTTTTTTTTATTTCAAGATTTGATATTGAATATGTCACTTCTATCGAACAAGTATTTATTTAAAAAAGTGATATCATATCAAATCTTTTTTTTCTTTTATTCTCTCTTAAAACAACAATAGTCCGTTTTATTACTTTTTTTTTTTTTTATAACACTGATATTCTTTCATTCATGTTTTTTTTTTTTATTATTATTCCTTTATTTAAACTGGAATAGTAAAAATATTCCACCCACTATTA